AATTTAGACTCTCTAGAATCAGAGATAGACTTTAATTTAGATCAATAAAATTATTTTATAGTACCTATAGTTATTTCGAAATGGACCCAGATACAATTTATAAGGCTTTACGCCCTGTGCCAGAGCTCGATGGCAACCCGAACGTCCTTACGAGGTTCATAAGAATATGCGATCAGTTAGTTATAAATTATATTAAGAACGAAGCAGGCGCAGAATTAAATAATTTGTGTCTCTTAAACGGTATTTTAAATAAAATTACTGGTAATGCTGCTAGAACAATAAATTCGAACGGAATACCCGAGAGTTGGCAGGGTGTCCGTAATGCCCTCATCAATAATTTCTCAGACCAAAGGGACGAGACAGCACTCTATAATGACCTTTCTTTACTTAGTCAGGGAGCCAATACGCCTGTAGAATTTTACGACAAGTGCCAGAACCTTTTCAGTACTATAATGACATATGTAACATTGCACGAATCCTTTGGCACCACTATAGAGGCCAAACGAGAGCTGTATCGGAAGCTCACATTACAATCCTATCTAAGAGGTCTTAAGGAACCTCTGGGGTCTCGCATTCGTTGCATGAGACCACCCACGCTTGAAAAGGCACTGGAATTTGTTCAGGAAGAAATAAATGTTATGTACCTTCATCAACGTAATGAAAACTTTAATAAGAGGGGTAATTCAGCCCCGCACCAACAGACAGCTGCGATGCAGAAGGTACAACCTTTAATTCCTTTCTCACAGCCAAAACCATTTAATTTTGTGCAACCCCAATTTAGCTGGCAGAGACCCATGATGCAGCAGCAGCAAAACTCTGTTTTCCACCCAAATGCTTACACTCAACAACGCTTGCCCAGTCGTACGCAACAAATGTTTCGCGCACCCCCGCCTAACTACCAACCTCATAACGCATTCAGGTTTCCCCCACGTAATGTTCCCCAAAATACGAGACCTCAACCGATGAGTGGTATAAGTCATTTCGTATCTAGATAACTTCCGCATGGATTGACAGGCCATGATTGGCGTAAATCCGGAAACCCACCGCCTAATAATTATTTCAAGGTCCGCGAGATGAATTTTAATGAAACCGCGGACAGTGATGACTTATATTACTACCCTGACTACTACGGAGAAATGACCAACACCCCTTACGATGACGCTTGTTACGATTATACTCAAACTGACGCCGAAAATTATAATATGTATGACCATGACCATGGACAGTATTCAGAGGCGACGGTTTCCTTGGAGGCTCCCCCGCCTTCAACTAATAAAAATCAAAACGAATTGGGTTTTCACAAGGGTCGTACCAACCCCGAACCAGAATAGAAGTTAATTTGCAGTCTAGAAGGGAGCTACGTTATATACAGATATCTGAACCTCCCCTCAAATTTCTAGTAGACACCGGGGCAAATCAATCATTTATTAGTCCCGAAACAGTGAAAAGGTACTTCTCAGGACTGCCATTGAATTTTGACCCCTTCGAGGTTACTAATTCGCGCGTAACAAGTACACACGATTATTCAATTACAGTACCTAACTTCCCGGAATTTAATAATCAAAAAGATATAAAACTCTTTGTGTATAAATTTCACAATCACTTTGATGGTTTGCTGGGCTTAGATTTATTAGACGGAGCTCAGATTGATTTAAAAGGTAATTTCTTAGTCACAGATCATGCAAGTATACCCTTATCTAGCTACACATGCAGAAAGGCCAAGTTTCAGGAAATAATTCCTGCCAATACGACAAGATTAGTTAATGTTCCAATTTATAATACTGACGGCGACGTGTATATTCGCGAACAAATAATATGTAACTGTATTATTCACGAATGTGTCACTGCAGTTACCGATCAGACCGGCATCATAGAAATAGAAAATCCCACTAATTCCGACATAGTTATTACTCTCGACAAAACTGTACAGTTCGACTTATTTAATACCGAGTACGCGAGCACCGAACAAGACCCCGATCGAGTCAATGCAGTGCTATCAAGACTGCGCACCAAACATTTAAATGCCGAGGAAAGAGCCAACTTAGAGACTTTATGTGGACGATACTCTGACGTTTTTTATATTGAGGGAGAGACTTTGACATTTACTAACAAAATCAAACACCAAATCAAAACGACAGACGAATTACCAGTTTATACGAAGAGCTACCGCTACCCGTACGTACATCGACAGGAGGTGAGAGATCAAATCACCAAGATGCTCGATCAAGGCATAATTAGACCTTCTGATTCCGCTTGGAGTTCCCCAATATGGGTAGTTCCAAAAAAGGTCGATGCATCCGGAAAACAAAAGTGGAGGCTAGTAGTAGATTTTCGTAAACTTAACGAGAAGACCGTTAACGATAAATATCTCATTCCAAATATTTCAGACGTCCTCGACAAGCTTGGCAGGTGTCAATATTTTAGTACCCTAGATTTAGCATCAGGATTTTATCAAGTCGAGATGTGCCCGGGCGACATACCCAAAACCGCGTTCACTGTCGAGCACGGACATTTTGAATTTTTACGCATGCCAATGGGGTTAAAAAATTTCCCATCAACGTTCCAACGGGTAATGGATAACGTGCTGAGGGGCTTGCAAAACGAAATTTGTTTAGTTTACCTGGACTATATCATCGTCTTTAGCACTTCATGGCAAGAACATATGATAAATTTGGAAAAGTATTTAACAGACTGCGTGAATCTAACTTCAAAATTCAAATGGACAAGTCCGAATTTTTTAAGTTAGAAACCGCTTATCTAGGACACATTATCAGTAGAGATGGTATTAAACCAAATCCTGACAAGATAGCCGCTATCAAAAATTATCCAATACCAAAAACACCTAAGGAAATAAAGCAATTTCTGGGACTTCTGGGATACTACAGAAAATTTATTCCTGACTTCGCCCGCCGAACTAAACCCATGACTAAATGTTTGAAAAAATCAAATAAAATAACATTTGGCTCCGAGTACACGGAGTGTTTTGAAAAATGTAAGACTTTACTGACTAATGACCCGATTCTGCAATACCCGGACTTTGACAAGGATTTTGTGTTAACTACAGACGCATCCAAGCAAATAGCATTAGGCGCTGTACTTAGTCAAGGCCCTGTAGGTTCGGACAAGCCCATCTGTTATGCTTCCCGCACATTAAACGACAGTGAAATAAAATATAGCACTATAGAAAAGGAGCTCCTAGCAATAGTGTGGGCCACAAAGTATTTCCGACCATACCTTTTTGGTTGTAAGTTCACAATTCTGACAGACCATAAGCCTCTCCAATGGATCATGAATATCAAAGAACCTAATTCCCGACTGACAAGGTGGAGACTTCAATTAAGCGAGTATGACTATACAGTTGTTTATAAAAAGGGAAAAAATAATACCAATGCCGACGCTCTGTCCAGGGTAGAGATTAACAATGAGGAAACTGACTCAATGATAGCTAATCCTACACAACAACCCCCTTCTGACTCTTCCACCCAAACCGCTCATACCGACAATGAAAATCCAATACTTGAAGTCCCCATTACTGATGAGCTCCTTAATAAATTTCACCGACAGATATGTTTTACGATAGTAGGAGACATTAAACGACGAACGACGGCAATTAAACCTTTTGACACACACACTCGTACATTCATACAAGTATCCGAATCCACCTTAGAGCAAGATGTAGTAAATGCTATTAAAGAATATGTCAATCCTAAGGTAAAGACCTCTATTAAAATCACACTGCCGTTGGGAATGTACTCTATCATTCCTGCTATCCAGAAAAATTTCAAAAATTCCTCTATGAATTTAGTCTTAGCAAAGACTGAACTAGAGGACGTTAAGGAATACCTGAGACAACAGGAAATCATAAAAAATTATCACGAAGGAAAAACAAACCACAGAGGAATTAACGAAAGCTATTTGTCCCTCTCGCGAAAGTACTACTGGCCAAAAATGAAAGAAGAGATTACAAAATACATTAACGAGTGCACAGTGTGTGGTCAGACGAAATATGACAGAAATCCCATTAGACCTCAATTCAATATTGTTCCCCCCGCGACGAAACCGCTTGAAATAGTACACATGGACCTTTTTACGGCCCACAATGAAAAGTATTCAACCTTTGTAGACGTGTTTTCTAAATATGGACAAGCCTATCACATAAGAGATGGTACGGCTATCAGCATCTTACAAGGATTACTACAGTACGCACCATGGACTACCTCTGACAATAATTACAGATAATGGGACTGAATTTACTAACCAAATGTTTGCCGAATTTACAAGACTACACAAAATAAATCACCACAGGACCTTAGCTCATGACCCCAACGACAATGGAATAATAGAGAGATTTCACTCGACCTTACTAGAGCACTTGAGAATTTTACGACTCCGACAGAAGGACGAACCAATAATTAATTTGATGCCATATGCAATTTTAGCTTACGATAGTTCGGTACACAGTTTTACAAAATGTAGGCCTCACGATATAATTCGAGGACATTTCGACCCAAGAGATCCATCTGACATCAATATGTCCGAACACCTAATGCAACAGTATATATTAACACACAAAGATCGAATGAAGATTGTATATGAAAATATAAATGAGTCTTCATTAGAAAATCGAACAAACATCATTAACAATAGGAATAGAAATAGGGAACCCGAGATCGAATATCAGCCAGATCAACAGGTTTTTGTAGCCAATCCTGTAGCTAACAGAAATCAGCTCGCTAAACGCTACACCCAAGACACCGTTCTTGCCAATTTGCCTATACACATTTACACTTCTAGAAAGAAAGGCCCCATAGCAAAATCCCGACTCAAACGTGTGCCTAAATCAGCAAAATTGTTACAGACTACTCCTGATGATCATTCGACTGACACTGGCTCACGAGATAAGACTGGAGACCCTTGACAATGGACCTGGTATTTTGCCTTTTAAACTTGGACAAGCTAGACTTACTACACACTATCATTCTTTCCTACAATTTATTGAAATGACTGACATTAAAGCCAGACTTGACTCTATAGATTCTCAACTTACACTATTCAAAGCTAAGCTAGATAATAATACATACTTCTTATATGAACTACAAATAGGATATCTATTCACTAAGTTGGATAAAATTCATAATCAACTTAATACATTAGAGCCCAATAGTTTAAGAAGTAAAAGAGGTCTTATAGACGGTCTAGGATCATTAATCAAAAGTATTACTGGTAATTTAGATCATACGGACGCTGAAAAATATAATAATGCTATACAAATTTTAGAAAATAACAACCAGAAATTACTGTCCGAAGTAAATGATCATATTAGTCTTAACAAAGAATGGATGAAACGGCACTCCACTTTACTTACGAAAATAGTAGAAAACCAGGAGAGAATTAATAATAGTTTGCAATTAAATTTAAATAATAGTATATACAGCGATAACAGTCTTCTTAAATACGCGCAGTTCGCTCAGTTACTGACGATAATCAGCGAAAACGCAGAAGATCTGTTCATAGAATTAACTAGGATAGAGGACATCTTAGCTTTTATACGTGCATCGAGCACCCATCATAGTATGCTAAGTATAGAAAATTTAAGAAATATGATAAGTAAACTTAAATCAGTGTATAATCAGGACCAAGTTCTAGAAGGAGACTTGAGAGAATATTATAACATAATAAAATCCGGATATTATTATGCAGGGAAAAGGATAGTCATTATATTTAAAGTTCCAATAATTTCCCCAGGTCAATTCGATTTCTATAAGCTGTCCCTTGTTCCTAACAAAAATTTCATGACTTTTATTCCCCCTTACCCATTCCTTGCAACCAACAGCAAAACTTTCATGTACATTGAGGCTGAATGCCCGAAGTTCAACCACCAGTACCTTTGCGAGGAAATGGTCAATCATCTCCCAAGAGGACATCCAGATTGCATACAAGGTATCATCATCCACCAATCCCTAGACAAATCGTGCCGGCCTACCAAAGTAAGTCTCGACAAGGAAGCCATGGAGCAGCTAGACGACCAACACTACACGCTTATTTTCCCACAACCGACCAAGACGGAGCTACAATGCGGACGACAGGAGTTCATCACCCTGCATGGAAGCTATCTTGCTACCCTGCCACCAAAATGTCTTATGCGCACTGAAGAATTTACTATTATCAATATCAACGATCAAATCAAAGGACAACCCTTACTGATAACAGATATACCTTACGACTACCAAGTTAACCGCCCCATGCAAATGCCACATATAAAACTTAATTCAATAAATCTAAAGGGACTACATGACATCGAAGATAAGATCCTAATGCAGCAACCAATTAAAATAGACCATATTAACAACCAATTGTACCACACGACTATACCATTCTATGGAATACTATTGAGCGCAGCTATACTGACTTCTATAATTATTATACGGCGTAGTAACCTTTGTACGCGACTGAAAATTAAGAATCCCGCAAGTAAAGATGAAACATCAACTGAAAATCGTATTAACGAGTCTCCTGAAGAAGTAGAGCATCGGAGCCCGAAGTCAGCAACATTTTCGCTCCAAGTCCTCAAATAGTTGCCGATTTGAGGGCGGAGATGTTAGATGAACTGTAACTATGAAACATGCCTACATTGCATCTCCCGTGGAAACATCGAGTGACACATATGTTGAGCAATCTCCATGCAAGCCGTGTGGCCGCCTGGCATTTTCCGTGAAGCAGCGATTGCCACATGCAACCCGCCTGATTTGCCGATGGTGCATCTTCGCCTCGTGGAAACCGCGACCGGCGTCGCGGCCCCTGATTCACTGGTTCTCACATCGACCGAGCATAGTACTTAATTAGAAATAAGGATTATATTGTAATTTCTTTACTTCATAAATTAAATTGTTTTAAATCTTTTTCGGTTTTTTTTGAGTCCTGCGGCGGCGTCCAACATAATTAACATTTACATTCAGGGTAAACTTAAGAAATGCTACTTACGGTATGTTTTCAATAAATAAACACCGAAATGCCAGCCCAAACAATAACACACACGATTGTCGTGACGTATTTTTGAAGTTGTTTATTTTTTTTAAGCGACAGACCCAGGCATTAAAAACTTTATGGTTTGCTAGAGTAGTTACCGAAATAGCAATTAATATTAGTTATTTTACCTATTATAACTTCGATATCCGATAAATCGGTATAAAATCAACACCTCTAGGTGTGGTATGCGTCTACGGCTGCATGTATCGCGTGAGCGGTTAAGTAATAGCTCTAGCAGGTATCTTAGTCTTTTTTAGCGTCAATGTAACATTTATCGTTGATTGCCCGAGTGATCCAGTGATGTTACTGATCAAGACTTCACGAACCGTACAATTGGTGCAAACGACGTCAATTAGCGTCTCCGAGGTTGCAGTGAAGTGAATAGGTTCAGATACAACTTGTCTCAAATTTACAACGCAGAAATTGATACAACTTCATAGTCTCACCGTCTCTTTGTTGTAGCATATTAGCATTAAAATCCATAAGAATTAAATAATCATAGTGGGAAAATCTAGAGACTGAGTCAGTGATGGTGTCTATGAATGTATCCACATTCAACCACTGTGGCCTATACGCAGTACCTATCACTAAGGAGTAGCCATTACTTTTAGTAGTCAGCCATATCTGCTCTACAGAATCATTGGGATTTTTAAGGTAACTAACGCAAACATCATCCTTTACATAAAACCCCACTCCCCCACCACGTCCACCTCGCATATGCTGCGGACGCGGTGCACAACGTAGTCGGTAGCCCGGCGTCACAGGCGCACACACCTCCTGCCCAGTCCCCAGACATGTCACATTAATAGCGACTATATTGGCATCGGAACGATCCATTGCAACAAGAAAATCATCTTGCCCTGTATTAAGGGAGCCCGCATTATATAATTCCAACTTAATGAATTTATTTTTAGGAGCCATTGATTTCATTTTAAATAAGTAAGCAATAACATTAACTAAGTTACTCATATGTAAGTAAAATGTATATAAGTAACGTTTGTATAGTAATGTACAATAATGTTAACATTAGTAAAGATTAAATGGGTAACAATATGTTTCGTTAATATCTTGCAGATAAAAATTAAAAATAAAAGATTATTCAGTGTTAATAAAATGCATGTAAATAAATAAATGTAGATTGATAAATAAATTACTACCAATAAAATGCGATTCACGATGAGCAGCATTACACTGATACAGCACACGCCACTATACAAAAATACTTGTAACGAAGACAATATTTTAAGAAAATCGTACGTTGATTACATAAAAACAAAACAAGAGCATATAATTAGGTATTAATGCAAAGATCGAACACAGAAAAAACACTCAGAAAAAATTCCTTCGGTCCGGTCGGATTCGAACCGACGTCTTCTTGCATACCGTGCCAGACGCTATACCAACTTTGGGTAATTCTGTAAATTAATAAAAAAAAAATTCGGCATTGTTTAAAATACCTAGACCAAATGTATAATATAGAGTTTGTTTCATGCATTGTCTGACTGCCTGCCTGCCTGCCATTGTATACAATATCTGATCACATATATTGTTGACAACATGTATGTATGTACATTAAGTGCATTTAGGAGAAAAATTTTCTAATTGTGAGTAAAAATGTAATTATTGAGTTCTTAGATTTTTGTGATTGTTGCTCATAGGAAATTAAACTATTTTTCGGATATATATCGCGAATGTTTGTTTTTTCAAACAAACAAACTTTTTGGTACATATGAACCCGGCTAACTGCCGCAGTCATGGTCTGCCAGCCTCTATTAGCCACTCTATATATAGTACTTCAAGTTTACGTAAATCATTTACTTCGTAGTTCGCCGCTGTAAAATAAAAGAAAACTACTACATATATAATAATATACAGGTAGACGCTGCTACTGCAATATATACAGTCCTGTGTATTTGTAAGACTTCATTAAAACGTATTTAATTAACTAAAGTATGACAGAATCTTTCCAAAGTAAGCATAAAATAATACCAACTGAAATTAATAATACAATATCAACTTTAAAACATACGAAATGATTATATCTTTGGGATATCTGAGCGTTGTGCTGTACAGTATCTATTATGTTACGTTTATTAATAGTAATAAGATATTTATGTATACACAGAGGAGACTATGCGACGCCAGTCAGTTGCATTCGGAGGAACGACCACTTGATGGTAGTAACGTTACTCGACTGCGGTGGTATCACACGGAGAGATTGTTGGAAAAAGAACTTAAATCACGATTGAAGTAATAGTTGTGTAGTCACGTGAGCTGTTCGCCGCAGCATTGCAATTGCAAAGGAGCAGTAGGAATGCAGCCGGACAGCAATTTTGATGCAGTCGGCGCTCCTGCATCTCGACGCCCTCGCTATCATTTACGGACGTTGTGACGCAAAAAAGTACTGGCGTTTATTATTTTTGTAACATTATGAAGGCATCAAATCTAAGGCCAGTAAGCTCTTTTATGTATATCTATTTACTCCTCGCACACTTATGTATTATTGAAATTTTTATCAGTTGCATGTTTGAAAATAAACTCGTGTGTGAAAATAAACATAATCATTCGCAAGAACTAGAATCCAAAAATTCCGCTATCATTATTGTCATAAAAATTAGCAAAAAAATATAATTGAAATATTTTTAATACTAATTCGTCGGTCATTTTGAAATACACCAAGTAAATAACTAATTAAAAATAGTAATAATGAATAACATAAAAGTAATTTTATGTACCTCAAGGTTTTTATGTAACTCAACATTATAATTATAATAAAACAAAAATCACATAGTGTGCGCAAACACGATGTACTGAACCCTAACTAACAGGTCAGATTGTCGAAGGAAGTACTGGAAGTGAGCTTCACTGGCAAATATCTGCTATCGAATAGACGATACGACAGTGACTAATTCACTGCGATGCGAATAACCACCCTATCTTTCCAGTTACGCCAAAACGATGTTTTTATTTGAGAAAAACTTAAATATACTTATCGAATTAAATTTGTATTGAATTGATATTAAATTATTTTTGTGAACTTACTCCACTAGTTTGTTATAATTATTAGTACAAATGTGCTTGTTTGTCGAAATTGAAATATATGTAAAATATCTATGAGAAATCTATGAAAGTATTTCGTCACCCAGATAGGTAACTTTATAGCTACCAACCCTGGCTAGATATGTCGGTATTAACTATAATTAAATTTGTATTGGATTAGTATTATTAATAAATAAAGATCGAACACTTAAAAAAAAATCCTTCGAATGAATTCTCCTCTCCTCTCCTCTCGTCTCGTCTCGTCTCGTCTCGTCTCGTCTCGTCTCGTCTCTCCTCTATACTTTTCGAGTTCTTAGGTTTACGCGATTGTTATATACATAGGATATGAAACATTTTTTTCAGATCTAAATGGCGTATATTTGTTCTTAAAACGAACTGACGTTTCGTGCCCTTTATATGCGAATCAACTGTGACTATAGAAACGTATAATGGTAGCCGAAAAGGATAGCTCAGCTTTCTACTGGATAGAGTCTCAGCTTTGGTTTACAGCTGGATATTATATTTATGGGATCGTGAAAACGGATTCACGTAACTTTGCTATAGAATACGACTCGAGTGATTCTTTTGATTGATTTGTGTTGAGTGTATTGGGTAGTGCCTCGCAATGTCGTTGCTCTGGTATACCTAAATAATTGTCTAGACTGAGACCAGGTAATTGGATGTGGTTGTCTCGCACATCATTATTAATATAGATGTTACATAATTGAATAACTAACTCAGCAATAAAGTTACAATCGTGTTTCCTTTTTGGCATAAAGTTAAAGTCCGCAGTGAAGTTCGAATTTGATTCTCAATACAGGCACAAGGAATCTTTGAGGGTTTTAAATATTAGATGCTTTGACGTTAAAAGGAAACCTGCACGTTCTCCAGGCTTACAACATCCTCTAGTCATGAACTAACGCATTGGTGCTGTATGAAGGATCTAATATATAATTATAATTGACGCATTTGATTTTTTTTTGTAAAATATTAGACAACTTCGCATACGATGCTCCGATCTTAAAGTAAGTAACTAAAGCACTTGTGATATGGAAGTCGGAAACAACAACGGTACCGCAAATACCCAGACCCGAGAAAATATAAAAAAGTTCATTTTCGACATTGACCGGCTGGGGATCGAACCCGAGACCTCAGCGATGGCGACACCATGAAAACCGGTGTGCAAGCCACTCGACCACGGAGGTCGTCTAATAATTATTGCGTACGTAAAAATTTGCCCAATAACGCATTGACTTACAAATAAATGGACGACGGGTCTAATACAAAAACCACGAAAAAAATGTCCCAAGTCAACCTACTCGAAATTTAAATTGTTATGTCATCGCAGTATCGCGCTGCCCGTAGAACAAATGAAGACTAAAGCGGAGTGTCGCGCTCTGTATACGATTTTAGCGCCTTACAAGTGCGGACACTTTTTAGCGCGGACCCGACGTCCATATAATTGTAAGTCAATGCAATAACGTTAATAAATGCGTCTCCTATCAGTAGCACGATAGTGTAGTTTTCATGTGAAATTGTTCCCTTTTGTTATCGTGTCAGTGTAGCATTGTAATTGTAAGTTCAATTCCACAATCAGAATAGTAGTACAAAACATACACTTACCCATAAAACTAACGCACGCATGCACGCACGCACGCACGCACGCACGCACGCACGCACGAACGCACGCACGCACGCTCGCACGCACGCACACACGCATGAACGC